AGTGTCTTTTCTTCTTGTGCTTAAAAAAAAAAAAAAAAAAGGCTATGCATGAAAGTCTTTAGAATATAATGTTATTTTTAAACCTTGGTTGTGTAGTACTTGTCAACTATTGAAAAAAATATTATTGTATGCTTTACTATTTATAACAGGAAGAGTTATTTTCGATGAATGGAATCCTATATAATAGTCAGTGAGAGTCTCTTACTGTAGTGTGAATTTCTTAAGAGCTATGTGTGAATTGAGATGGTGTTTAAGTAAGCAATTTTTTATCATTTATATTGGAATAATTTTTGTTTGAAAGGTAACTTTGTATATGTTAAAATTTATGAAATGTATTGTAAATTTGGTGTACAGTTTTTATTTTCATGATTAATTTTTTATCAAGTTTATAACACCCGGTGGGCAATTAATGCTGCAGTTTTTCTTACAGTGCTTAAAATTCGTTAGTTCTGTTTTTGAAGGTATAGATATTTAATGAAGACATTTTGCATTATTAGTGTTAAAATATAAATTATTTTTAATAAATATAAGGTCTACGGAAAAATTCTGTCCAATAATGTTATTTCAAGTTTCAATATGCATGCAGGTATTCATTTGAGACACATATGGTTGTCTCTATCATTGCATTTATTTGCTTTTCTAAATTAATTGAAACAAAATTGCCTTATAGCATTATTAAGTGAAATCATGTAATTATAGCTACAAATAAAAGTTAATTTACAATACTGTTTTTGTACAAATTCCAACAAGCAAGAAATGCTATAGAAATGTGTCTAAATTCAGTGACAGTTTTTGGTGGAGATGGTTTGAAAAATTTGAAGCAGGTGATTTCAACCTTAATGATAAGTTACATTGGGAGAGCAAGATCCTTTTTGGACAACATCGGAGGTTGTGGAAAGCTTAATTGAGCTTAATAAACCATTTTAATCGTATTTGGTACTCTTTTGTTATTGGGAATGGATTCACAGATGTATGTATGTATACATACGTATATACACAGCAGAGGAAAAAAAAGGACAGTTCTGTATCTCCTGTTCTACTGGGCCGATTGACGAATCATGTCGTGAAAGCAGGACTTGGATATATATTACATTTATATATAGCATTATTTTAACATAGGTATTTTGATGCAAAATCGAACTTTTTCTGAAAAGACGTACATTTTTTTTACGTATTTCAATTAGCTTCAAATTAGGCCAAACTGCCAAGTTTTTAAAAAATCGCACAAATAGTTTTTAAAAAATTAGCTTTTAAAATATTAGCTCCTTAATGTTAATTGAAATGGATATATATTTATTAATATCTCTTTTTTTTTTTATTAAACGTAAGTGATTTTTTCTCCCAGAATTCAAAATTTATTCTTAATCCAAATGCAATTCGCACATTTTTTGTGATTTATTTTTAAAATTTGTATTTTTAAATAATTTTTATAAATTTTTCAAAAACACTTTTGTATTATAACTTGTGAAATTTTTAACATGATTTTAAAGTAGATATATTTTTAGGCATACCAGCAAAAAATTAGAATCTTTTATTCAAAATTTTATAAGATATACATGAAATTACATATTGGTGCATTTTGAAATCTGGCAACTTATTTTTGAGCAATAATAGCGCCAAATGTGGTTTATGCACTTGGTTAGAATTATTTGAAAGGATTAAAGATGACTCCCCCCTCGCTTGTCTGCTGTGCAAAACAGGAAAGGAAAATAGGTTGCTATAAATTAGGAAGTTTGCCAAGTAAATTATTCTTGGCCCAAACTGAGAAAAATACGCCAAGATAAATTTTTTAATTTCTCTGTAAATTTGCACCAAATTTTACAAAATTTATTATTTAGGCATAGTTTCAGTCATAGAATAGAATAACGCTGTATATAAATCTAATACATATCCTAAGTTGAGCTTAGGATACGTATTTGAGACATGAAAACCACAATTTTAATTTCATCAATCAGCCCTGTAGAATACAGAGCTGTCCCCTTTTTTTGCACTGATTCGAAAGTCTACCGCCCAAAGGCTACTTTCATATTTCACATATCTTCAAATGGAATAATAAATGAAGAATAAAAATTGCACAGAAAAATGCAAAGAAATCAAGGTACGGTCTGATAAAAGTGGCACCACAATCTATCGTGTAAAAGTGAAAATACAAAAGTTCACATGAGTTCATGGTCGCTTAAAGTTCAGTGATCACTTAGTGTTCAAAAAGTTCTTTAACCGTTTGTGGCTCAGTGTTCCACTACATGGAACACCCAAATTGAATCGCTTCTGAAACCTTTAAATTCAACCATAAATAGATAAAAATGCCTTTATAATATACTTTGAACTTTTCTTTTTAAACAGTAGATAGCAGCATATCACAGGGAGACACAGAATTTTCATTTATGATGTGTTATTACAATCCACTTATTTTCTAGTAATTTTCTATATTTTTGTCACACAAAAAATTTTGTTTGAAAAAAAAATTCCGTATAATTTTGATGGTTGTGCTCTATATTATTTGTTATATATTTTTTTTAATTTTTCATACAAAAAGCATGCGCAGAATCCTTGAATAAAATGGGGTGTTCCATTAGCGGGAACACTGCACCTTTAGTGATCTCATGCTATTACGCATCAGAACATCTGTCTTAGGAAAAAACATATGTTGTATATGTTTTCTATTTACATTGTTTTGGAGAATGAATTCAAACAAAGCAGTCTTGAGGGGTGAGGGGTGGTTTGTGCTATGAAAGTCCTAATATGGGCATCTTGAAATTTTTGTTAGTAGTTTTCAGGCGGGAATTTATCAGTACTTGAGTCATCTTTACTTAGGGAAGCTCGGCGAATTATTTTGCTATCGCTTTTTTTGTCATTCCGTTTATTTACAATAATTTTGTAGATATTTTTTTTGTGTGTATATTTATTTTTCTTTAGTTTTAATATTAATGCGTTAATCAAAACCTGCAAAGTTGGTTTTCTTCTATCAAAATGATGTGACATGCTTTGAAAATTTCACGAGCTATGAAATCGAAAATGTGTAAATATTTTTGTATATGACTTGTGTAGTAATATAATTTATCTCATTTATCCATCTATAGCATGAAAGTTGTGTATTCCAGAAAACCATTATACATCTATATACAGTGTTTTTTCATTACTATACAAAGCTTCTACTCATTTCCATGCTTCACTGCAATGCTCTCCTAGTCGCACTTTTCAGAGCTCTGGTGCGCACATGGAACACCCCAGAATTGAAAGGTAATGAAATTTTACTAATTTTATCTGTATACTCCTTTAGGCCTAGATAGACTGCGTGCAACTTTTCTGTAAATCCGACTTTAAAGTGTAGTGCACCACAAGGATTAAAGGCTTAACAATTACTTCGCCTTTACGTCCTCCCAAGATCTTTTACTCACTTGCACTTGTGAAATCGAAGGCCACTTCATTCTACCTGAGGGTGTGAGGGTGTATGTGGCTCTCCTATCCACTTGTTCCATCGTTCTCGCACACTTTTCCTTAAATGGCTTATTCACCGATACATCTAAAGGCGCAATTGGCTAGCAGTCCACCAGGAATGACAGTATCTGTGTTTTTATTCTCTCACTTTATTCTTTATGGTTCAGTCTGTGGACACTAAACTGATCCAAAACAAAAGAGATTTTTCTTAAGAGTCCACCAGTCGCCTCGCTCATTGTTCTGTAATCAAATTTTATTTCCATCGTCCTCCGTCTTTCGGATAAACATGAACAATTACACTCATTGGAAGTTTTTCTTTCGGATGAGTTTTTCTTTTGAATATGAAAAATGGCAATAGTTTTATGCCATCAGCACAGCATGTTATTGTTCGCTTACGCGTCAAACTATTATGCTACCAGTGTATCACGGACTCTAAAGAGACTACTATATTCTATTTTCATTTATTTAATAAAACTATAAGTATTCATTTATTTACTATAAGTATTCATTTATTTAATAAAACTATAAGTATTTATTTATTTATTATTATTATACTATAAGTATTCATTTATTTAATAAAACATCACTCAGGTATACAGTCAAAAGTTGTTAATTCGGACACCCATAATCCGGACCTCAAAGCTACAAACTTACTGCGCATGCGTCCCGGACCTCAAAGCTACGAACTTACTGCACATGTGTCGCGTTGACGCATGCGCATAGGCATTTACGCATGCATGTAAGACCTTTACGTTTACGCATGCGCGTTTAATGTATAACGGACGGTATAAGCTAAAATTATCTAATTATCTATTTCAGTTAATGTTGCAGATTGCGTTGTTCCTTAATCTTCGAATTGGATCCAGCTGATTACTTTTTGCAGACTGTTAGAGCAATTTTATAAAATTAAGCTTGAAATTTCGATTATGTCAAATAGAATTTCCGATGCTGGAAACCCCAAAAGATCTACAAAGCGAAAGTATGTTTCTTTGTCCATCAAACAAAAAGTGGAATTGCTGCAAAAAATGAATAAAGGCATATCCTTTGTTTCTCTAACCATTTCGCAATGAATTGGAAGTTGATCTGTCAGCATTATCCTTATCTTCAGGGCATATGTTTTTATTTTATTTGGCTTATAATTCCTTACTAAATGTAGTATTTCATCTCGATGTACTCCCTCTTTGATATGATTTAAATCAAGTTCCTCGTCATTATAATTCGCTTCCGATAGTGAAGAAAGTGACCCAGAGGTTATTGAAAACAAAAAACATTTCGATTGACAAATTTGTCCGTATTCTCAACACAGCAATTATAGGACTTGAACAGCGGAACTTTGTAACTAAACAAGAAATTATGTCTGTTTAATAGAATTAAAGAGAAAATATTATCACATGAAACGAAGCAACTTACATCGAAAGAAATGTTTAATAAAGTAAACAAATAAATATTAAGCTTTTTCTTTTTGTAAATTTTGATACCCTTTAGATCATAATTGTTCTTTATTTCATAAATTACGCTTTCATATTTTTAATTTTGCAATTTCTGCATGTCATGTTACCAGATTTAAACTGATGATCTATAATCCGGAAAAATCCATAATCCGGAATTGCCGAAGTCCCGACGAGTCCGGATTAACGACTTTTGACTGTATAACATACAATTAATCTTCAATAAGCCTAACTAACTACAGAAATATATTTTCCTAATTCTATAAATTGCCCTGCTGCCACTCTCATGAAACCCAATTAACAACAATTATTAGTGGCCAAAAAGTAAACGTAATAAGTATTGTAAAATTATAAGTATAATTTAAGTA